CCCTCCGTCTTAAAGTGTTCTTTCCACTCATTTTTTACTCGGTCAAACTTTAACCATTTTCTTTACCTATTTTCATTAGGTATTTGATAAAATAATATAATCTTGTCACCACTTGTTTTGTAGAACTTTTGATGTAATTTTTAAATATATACATTTTATTTTTTAATTTTACACCTACAATCAAATAAATTGAATTGAAAATAAAGTCGATCAAACCTCGTAAAATGAACCGGGAAGAACATTATAACATTATAGGACGGAGAAATAACATTATAACATTATAACATTATAACATTATAACATTATAATATATTTTTACAAAAAAAATTGAATCCCATTTTGTACCTCAAAGTACTAAGAGCATGAGCAGTGGGCGTGTCAAAGCACTGCCATGCATGCCACCTCATTACATTCCCTCTTTTTCCATGGCAAGGCATAGTAAGACACCTTGAAAGCCTGGCAAGCCTGAGCCATCTATTCCCTTTTTTTGTTTCTTTTTTTGTAAAAGAAAGAAGTTTTTTTATTTTATTTTCTTTAGAGGCAAGTGCAGGGGATTAGAGGCATTGTTTTCCATTTTTAAATTTTTTATTTTTTTCTGCTTTCCAATCTAACTCTTTAAAAAAAACTTAACCCTTTTTTAGTTGTCTTTCTTTTTTCTTTACAATCTATCTTCTTTTTCAAAACAATCTAACCTTTATTTGAGACTAAAAAAATATACATTTTTATACATTAATGTTTTATATGAAATTATATAATTTAATTTAAAAAATTAATTTTCTCTTTGTACAATTAAAATCTTTACAAGAAAATGCAATAATTTATAATAAAAAAAGCACACATGGACTAATTAAAATATGTCAAAATGTTAACATTGCCAAAAAAAAGATTACAATTATTTTTATTAAAAAAAGGTAACTAAAATAATTTTTAATAATTAAAATATATTTAAAAGGTGTAAAAAATGATAAAAAGAGTTATTTGCCACTACAAGACATGTCACTCTACTCATTTACCACACGCTGACTGGACTAGTTTTGATGGGCTAAAATACTACACATCATTGTGTGCATTCAATTTCTTACTTGCCATTGTCCATTCTCTAGCTAGTATAATGTAAGTGTGATTGTTTACACTGACACAAAATGTCAACACAATTTTTTTTATTGAACTAATATTTTGTGCCAGTGTGGACCGTTAAAATATCGGTGCATCTCTTTGTGGTACATTTTTTGGTGTACCCCTAACATGAATTATACGAGTACTCTCCTCGAAAATTGGAGTACACTTTTTGGTATACCTTTAGCATGAATTATACGGCCAAAAATGTGCACATTTAGTGAAGTGAAATTATTATACATCATGGTGAAAGAAAGAATTATTTTCAAACATCGGGTATATATTATATTATTGTGGATAATTTTTCTTGAATATATGAATAATTAAAATACTCCATATAATTTTAGTAATTTGTATGGTATACGAGAATTAAGATTGGCACGAACAAAAATGTTTCATATTATACATTCTCGTTATCATGAGTTGAACTCAAATATAAAAAATACTCCCTCCGTCCCGTTTTAAGTCGCCTGTTTTGACTTTTGGGCATATTTAAGGAAAAAAAAAATAAAGTTGATTTTCTGAAATTGTCATTACTTTTTAAAAGAGATGACGATGAATGAGAAGATAAGGTGGAGAAGAGTCACTTATTTTAGGGAAGTTTAGGTATTTTACTCTTAAAAGTTTATGAAAACAAGTAACATGCAACTTATTTTGGGACGGAAAAAAAAAGACAAACGAGCAATTTAAAATGGGACAGAGCGAGTACTTGAATACAACAAGTTCTACCTCAACCCTCTTTAGCATAGTCTTTCAAGTGTAAATGAAAAATTAATAAATGAATAAGAAATGTGTCGTTGATAGAGTGTCGGGGTACGGCATGGTGTACTTCTAGCATTATTATTCCTTCAATATTGTTCTCTTTTAACACTAGATTTTTGCAACTAAAGTTACTCTTCTAACGCGTGAATTGGAAAATAATGAAACTATCCACTATTTATCAAATTACAAATTTAAAATTATTTGTTTTGAATATTATTTTTAAAACCTATATTTCTTGATCAAACTATTTTTAGAGTGCATTCTTTCGATACCATTCATGGGTGTCCTAATATGACATACATGTTACTCTATAATAACAAATTTTTCATAATTTTTAGTGTTAACATTGACTGATTCACATTATTTTCTCTTCCTTCTACATAAATCCACACATATAATATCATATTCCAGCACTAATAACTCGATATGATAATTGTAGCATTTGTTCATATGACATACTCCGTATCTTTTAAATTATGACTCTGTTTGACAATAATCTTAGAGTTTAGTGTTAGTATCTTGAAAGAATTATCTAGCATTAATTTTTATTGTTTGTGTTCTCAAATTGAATTCACTCTATTAAAATTGAATGTAAAATAATAGTAACAATAATCAATGACATTATTCTCAGACAAAACATTAATAAAGAAAAATGAAAATAAAAGTTATTGATAACTTTAATTGGAGAAAGAGTACTTACTACTCCGTACTTACTTACTAGTACTCCGTAATTGTATATGGAAGGGTTAATTAGGGAAAAATGGTATGGCACGCAAATAATGAGTAAAAAAGTTAAAAGGATAAGAAAATCGACTCCGCTGGGGATCGAACCCAGAATCTCTGGTTTCGTAGACCAGCGCCTTATCCATTGGGCCACGGAGCCGATCTGTTGACAATGAAGAATGTTTTAACAATAATAAACATATGAAAATAGAAAACTTTGAAAATTCCGAGAGAATTTGTATAAAAAAACACTACTTAAATAAGATTTTAAAACCTTAAATTTATATCAATATACGACTCCCTATTTTTTTTATTAACAAAAAAAGAGAGTTATGTCATGCCATAATTTAGTATTGTATTTTTGCACTTCGTAGGCATTAATTATATATTGACACTTTTGAGATTATAAATTTTATTTTGGTATAAAAAATAAAAGTTCTATTTTAATATATATATATATACACACACACTATGGTTTTTGTCTTATTTTAGTTTTTCAAAAAAGTTTTTTACATTCTTTACCTTTGGACTTTCCAAAAATTGAATGGATTCGCCCCAAAATTTAAAATTGTGCATATGCTTTCGAAACTTTTAAAAATGTTATACTAATGGTCCATCTGCGCTAGATTTGGGTATGTATTAATCATATGCTCATGAGTATATCTCTTGGAGCTTGGTGAAGCTTTTATTTTGTTACTTTTTCTATGTGTTATTCTTATTTAGAGGGATTTCTTCCAGTAAATAACTTCTTCATCCATATCAAGTCTCGCTATTTTGATTCATTTTGGTAAAAAAAATTGACCAGAAAGTCAATAAAATGAAACACACTCCAACAGGAGGGAGTGCGGGGTGAGTTGGGCACATGACAGGCCGAGATGGTTTATCGGGGAGGTTACGAGTGTTAGGAATAATAAATTTTACGAACGTGCTCCAATTATAGTAAGAATTGTGGTAATTTTTTGTAAGAATAAGGGCGTGCGCACACACACACACATGACCTAGAGTAATCAATGAACTAAAGATGCTTAACGAGACTTGAGAGAGTGCAAAAAGATATGACGTAGAGTGATAAAAATATGCGTGTTTTTGGACTCAAATAAAAGACATGACAAAAAAGTGAAGTGATCAATGAAGTAAAAGTTTGAATTATTTTGATTGATTAAAATAAAAAAAAGAGAAAGAGGAGGCCATGCCAGGATGGCCAATGGCCATCACGCAAGAAGGGATCAGGCTCCTTTATTGAGGTGTCGGCGCGGTGAATTAGGCGCGAAGGAGGTAGTGAAGCCCTTGGTATTTAGAAGTAATATTTACATTACTTGCTATACCCCATTCTGTACATTATAATTTTGTACAGTTATTTGCAGGAAGAAAGACTAAACTAGGATTAAAACATTGGAAATATATCAAAATAGGACTTCCATGTTTTTATTCCCGAAAAAAGACTTACATTACCAAACATGGTCATATACATTACCAAAAAAGTATAGTAATTTGCACATGTACATTGCCACATTACCACAATGCAAAGTCACATTACCACAGTACAAAATCTAATTTTGGAAAAAAAACATGAAAGTCTTATTTTGATATTTTTCTCTATGTTTTAATCCTATTTAGGATGATTTCTATAATTTGCACTACACTAACATAAATTATCAGTATAGAATTTGATGACCCCAATAATATTTTTTGCAAGAAAAATGCTAGGGGTATACCAAATGTGTACCCCATTTGTCCCTCACATCTTCCTTGTCTACAAAAAAAGGCAAGAAATTTAAAAAATAAATAAATAAAAATAAAATAAAAATGGATAGTAGAGAATGTGTGATGTACTTTTGGGGTACACCATTTGGTGTGGTACACCATTTGGTGTACCCCTAGCATTGCTCTTTGCAAAGGTAAAGTATCAATTTTGTACTCTGGGGTAGGAAAATGTTAGGGGTACACCAAAAGTGTACCCAAACATCTCCATCCTCTCCATCACCACATAAAAAAGGCAAGAAATTTTCAAAAAAAATTAAAAATAGAAACAAAATAAAATGAATGGTTAGTAAGAGGGTGGCCCTCTCATATCTCTCCTCCGGGGTAACTTGTAAGAGCGATTATTGATCACTCTACAATTCCCCCATAAAGTTGGAACTTGGAACCCTAATCCAATTGATCGTCCGCCCGAAGAAACCACAAGCCTCCTTAAACCTTCCGAATTTGATTCATCATCACCATCTTCACTCCCCGTCCTCCGAAATTGCATCATGCAATCGCCGGCGAAGCCCAAATCTTAACCCCGTGTGGACATTTATTCCTTTTACATCCACCGCTGTTCTAGGTTTTTACGGCGGAGATCGGTAGAACAATCAAAACCCGCATCCGACCCGAATTATCAGTACAGCTTTCTGGAAATCTACTTACTTTTTTTCCCCGCCGCCAATTCTTTATCCCATGGCCACCGCCACCGATGCACCTGCGAAGTTTCAGCAGCCGGACCTCATACCGATCCCCCAGCCGCCGGATTATCACCCGGAGATTGTTGTATCGCCGGTTCACGACGGGCTGCACTATTGGCAGTTCATGGTGGCCGGGTCAATCGCCGGCATGGTGGAGCACATGGCCATGTTCCCGGTCGATACAGTCAAGACCAGAATGCAAGCCCTAGTCTCTTGCCCAATCAAGTCAGTCGGGATACGCCAGGCCCTCCAGTCCATTCTCAAATCGGAGGGCGTTTCTGGGTTTTACCGCGGAATTGGAGCAATGGGCCTCGGCGCTGGCCCTGCCCACGCTGTGTACTTCTCTGTCTATGAGTTCTGTAAGGAGGCATTTTCCGGTGGGAAGCCCAATAACCCTGCAGCCCATGCAGCATCCGGCGTGTGTGCCACAGTGGCCAGTGATGCAGTCTTTACCCCCATGGATATGGTGAAACAGAGGCTTCAGCTGAGCAGCAGCCAGTATAAGGGGGTATTGGACTGTGTGAGGGTGGTTCTGAGAGAGGAAGGGGTTAAGGCCTTTTATGCTTCATATAAGACCACAGTTCTTATGAATGCCCCTTTCACGGCGGTGCACTTTACCACTTATGAGGCGGCAAAGAGGGGTTTGTTAGAGTTTTCGCCGGAGATTGCCAGCGACGAGAGGCTGGTGGTCCATGCCACTGCAGGGGCGGCTGCTGGGGTTTCAGCTGCCTTGATTACCACTCCACTTGATGTGGTTAAAACTCAGTTGCAGTGTCAGGTACTTTGGCTATTCTTTCTTTTTCTTTACAATTTACTCTACTTTAAAATTGCGTTTGGAGATGTTTTTTAGGGCGTGTTTGGTTGGATAGGAGGAGTGTAAGGAAATTTTTTCGCTTCCTACCCTAAAAATGCTCTGTACCAATTATGAAAGAAGGGGAGTATATCATTTTCCCTTTCCTCCAACCAAATACACACTTATCATTGTTTATCTATACAGATGTAGATGAGAAGTATCCCACCATTGTTTATGATAGTTGCTTGCAGTTAACTTACTCTAGCACTCATGATGTTTCTGCTTAAAGCCCAACAATAGTTCTTGCTTTCGAATATTAACGTGGACGGGCTTGAACAACAACAACAACAACCCAGTTAAATCCCACAAGAGTAGGGTCTGGGGAGGGTGTGTTTACGCAGACCTTACCCCTACTTGAAAGTAGAGATGCTGTTTCCAAAGAGACCCCCGGCTCAACGTCGAAAGTTGCATTGCTTGACTAACTGCTACTTCATTAATTAAATAAGCGCAGACAGTTTAGAGATCCATTTTGATTTATTCCATCACACGTGGACGGGCTTGAACAAATATATATAAACTAGATTTACTGTTAGAGTCAATCTTTATTTTTCACCAATTTTTCTTTCCTTCCAACTACCAGTTCATATCCCGATTCACTTTCCTATTTTTCAATTGATGTCTTCTTGGTCCAAAACAGACTCTTAAGGAGAAGAGAAGTTCACATTAGTTTGGTCTCATGACTCATGAGGTCATATAGTGAAGCCATCATGGAAAATGAAGTTCTTGGGTGCCATTATGAGGGGTTTGTATTCATAACATAAACTAGAGAAAGGCTGTCTCTCTTTGAATATGGGGTGGAAGTTGAGTTTTAAGATCATGATTGCCATTAAGTATATGGATATAAAAATGGGTTGTAAATATATGTGGTTCTCATATGATTGCCTAAGTTGCGTACTGTTAATGCGCATAAAATCTTCCATTGCACTGTAAATAACTAATCCTTTCTTCTCAATGTTTCTATCTTATGTGGAATACGTATGAATTTATTAAATACATAGTATATTTTTAAAAAAACATTGTTCGACACGTTAACACATTCAACAACTCCAGCTACATATTCAACTACTGCCATTTCTGGCATAAGCTAATAAAACTTGTACTGTTCCATTCATGTTGAGCTGCTATGTTTTCTCACCTGGAAATTTATGTTTCATACCAGAAAAGAAACATGACAGGATTATTATTTGTAGGGCGTGTGTGGGTGTGACAGATTCAAGAGTGGTTCAATAAGGGATGTCTTCAAGACAATAATAAAGAAAGATGGGTATAGTGGGCTGATGAGGGGTTGGATGCCGAGGATGCTCTTCCACGCTCCCGCTGCTGCAATTTGCTGGTCCACTTATGAAGCTGCCAAATCCTTCTTTCAAGATTTGAACACCACCAACAACAGCAACAACACCTAAGAATCCCCAGGTAATGCTCTGCTTATACCTCCTCGGCATTTGTTTGTCCGAACCACATCGTGGGGCCACTAGGGCAATAGAAAGCAAGATTCGCATTTCTGATTTGGGTGGCGAGGTGTGGACTGTGCCATTGGCGGTAAATGACAATTAGAGGTAGCTTTCCAGAGTTTCAATAAGTTAATCTCCAAAAAAAAGGATTAGACTGGAGCTAGTTGTTCTGTGCCTTCAAAAGATGGTGTTATATGCCAACAAATCATTTGGGGCTTTGTAGTATTTTTAGATTTTGTTGTAAAAGGACAACCTCTTTTTTCTTAGTTTTTTTTTAAAAAAAATTTTGTTGTAAAAGGATAACATTTTTTCTCTCCTCACACGCGGATCACTTTTTTTTCGAGTCCTTTAGTAAAAAAATTCTTTATATATGTATTGCCCTGCAATCCCTCTCTTGAGGGAGACATTGGCTTTGTTATTTCTCATCTTCAATCATTTTTCACAGCACAGTATACAAACTACAGACAATACGCAACTTTGAGTCTACATGGCTTTCATTTTTCAAACCAAGAAGCACATTTTCTAGAAACCTTATTCATACAACTGTAACATTTGAATGTATGAATTTCTAGCGACCCTTTCGAACCCGATACGTTCAAAAGTAGTTTTGAAACATTTGAATGTTTCCATATCGGACATGATGATTCCCGCATAAACCGCGTTCTACATTCAAATGTATAAGTCATACATTCGAATGTATATGGTGAACAGTCATGTTGGCTCGCTTCGAGACACGTCTGGTAGGATTTTCAGTCTATATTTAGATGATCATATGGCATGTTCCCGATATGAAAAATGATATACTTGTTCTAGTTAACTTATGTTTCATTACTTGATATTTTGGTATTACTACTGAGATGATTTTAATCTTAAAGCGATAAGGCAATTCGTATAACCTATCCCACTATTTCTGGATATTCCAATCATGTGTGACATTGTTACATAGTGTGTTTTCGTATCCCAAATTTACAAAAAGAAAAAGGACCATGCTAGGGTTTCACCACATGGGTGCATCCATGGTAGCACCCATATGGTGGCACCCTAGCATTTTCCAAAGAAAAACACTTGTTTTACCAATAAAGATACGCCATGGAATATATTTTCTTTATCTTTTTGCTATTGTTGTACGTTGCATCTTTATGAGTTTATGATGATACTCGCAAACAATTGTTACGGACAAAGAAAGCTCGTGTATCAAGCTTTGAGAAGAGATTACCAAAAGACGAAATAATGGGAAAATATTGTTTTTTTAAATATAGGAAATGGTATTCTACTAATGTAAATTATCAAAACTCAAATAATGACAAATAAAAGTAGTGGGGATTGAAATACATTCCCAAGAATCAGACATAGAATCAAATGATCGAGCTAACAAATGAGCAACTTTATTGTTGATTTTCTAACAAGCGGAACTGAGAACGATGTAAATTCTGTCGTTAAATATTGAAAATCAGAGACTAAACCCATCAAATAAAAGGCTTTATCCTCTATTAGTGCTTGAAGGGCCAAAGATAGATGATTGAGCTAAAAAATGTGCAATTTTATTTGTTGATTTTCTAACAAGCGAAATTGAGATTAATGTTAACTCCGTCATTAAACTTTTACAATCAGAGACTAAACCCATGAAATAAGAAGTGCTATCATCTGTTAGTGGTTGAAGGGCCAAAAATAGTGTATGATTATCCATTTCAACCATAATCTTTCTATGTGAAACTTCTCCATTTATGAACTTTGACTATAAAAATCACATTGCAAACTATACAACCTCCAAACAAATGTAGTCTATCTGACCAAATCGTCTTACATTTTTTTAATCCGTCCAAAAATAATTATTCTATTGAGCTAATGAATTGAATTAATGCTAGATGCACAACAAAGTACACACGAACAAATACAGCTTCAATTTTCTTATCCATACAAAAATACGTGTGATGGGAGAGGAATAATGTGTAAATTGGTGTGCACATAGCACTTTTTAATATTAGGTCATTTTTTTATATTTCTTATTTCTTTAAATAAATTTAAACATCTACTTTTTATTTTTTAAATTCTTACTCTCTTTGTCTCAAATTAAATTGTTTTTTTACCATTCACAATTTCAAACTTCATTTACTTTCTTTACTTAGAGCATTGAAAATACACCTAACGCCTAGGGTGTTAAACACCGCCTCCCATCAACTTCATCGGGGTGTTAGGCATAGTGTGTCAAACGTTTAACGCACGGAAAATGCAGTGGGGCCCTCTTCCAAGGCCATCATAGCCGTTTAAACCTAAAAATAGAAAAATATGTCTTCCCTGTTCCCTCTATAAAATCAATATCTTTTAAAAAAATTAAACACACACAACATCTCTCTATTTCTCTCTTCTTCAAATAAAAAATCTTCAATTGTTTTTCATCTTTTTTTTAACATGAATCCTTTCGGTATTAATGTTTCTTCGTCCAGTCTCGAGTTCTGCAGGGTCTGGCTTTGTTTCTTCTCACAAAGATATCGACCGGGCAATGGTTGAATAACCTCGGATGTTCAATATTAGGGAAGAAGAGAAGGGGAAACGAAGGCAAGAGAAGGTGGAGATTGAAATAATGGAAACCGACCTTGATACGTTAATAGGCTTCAAACGTATGCTTTACGAGAGGAGACAAAGAGATCAAGACCAAATATAATTTGCCTTAGTTTTTTTAATTAATGTAATTTTTTATAATAAATGTTTTTTTATTTAATAAATTATTGTCATTTAAAATTAATTAATTAATGAAATTTTATTAATTTACTTTTATAAAATGTGTGCTAAAAAAAATTTAAAATAAAAGTTTGAAGCCCCGGGGTTCAAACATTTTTCCAGTAAAACTGTAAGGTAATTTATACTGATGGGCAGAAAGATTAATTTTGAAGCCCCAGTTTGAAGCTCTTCTTCTTGGTACACTATGATAAATTTGTAATTAAAAAAATGTTTTAAAACAAACATTATATTGTTTCAAAATAAAAAACCACATTATTTTAGAATGAACATATTTTAAAATAAACACTACATTTTTTTCAGTATAAATATTTTTCCGAAGAGTGAGTACGGTGAAGCATGATTGCATGAGTATTACTCCCTCCGTCCCCCTGTATTTGTCCACATTTGACTTTTGGAACTGTTCATCTAAGTACTTTGGCTAATCAAATTCTCTCAATGTGTAAGCCTAAATATAGTCATGTGTGATCTTGTTTGATTTGTCTTAACATATAGATTATTAATATATAATTTTTATAATTTTTTAATATACAAATTATAAGATAAAATGGATTAAAGAAGTGCATTGGATGGTGTGTAAAAATGAAAGTGGACAAATACAGGGGGACGAAGGGAGTATGAGGTAGTTTTTGAGAATTATAATTAATTTGAAATCTTAGATTTCAATCCTAATATTTGAAATCCCATAATTTCAAATTTCATATGTTATTTAGGGTGTAATACAACTTCAATTTTAGATTTTGAATTTTGAAGTCGAAACGGGTATGGAATTTAGGGTGTATGGAATTATTGTTGTCTAAGATAAATAGTTCCAACTATGAATTAAACTCCGGTACTTCACACTTTTGGGACGAAACGGGTATTCGATCCATATATATTCAGTTTATCTACTTCTCCGGTAGCTCCCAAGCAGCGGCCAAATGAACGCCGTGTCCAGAACCCCGCTTGATTTCGTTGAAGGTAAATGCGGTTTAATCTTTTCGATCAATTTACTGTTTTGCAATAATTGAGCCTTTTTTATCTTTACGACAGAGATCTCCGGCGAAAGTGATTCGGATACGACCTCCGATGAAGCGTCAATGTACTACCAGCCAATCTCCGCCGACGGGGATGAGGACGATCAAACTTCCGATCAACATTCATATGTTCGTACCGAGAACGGAGATCAATCCGGCACTAACTTTAACCGCTTGCCGAACGGGTACGCGCGCTGCCTTGAGAACGGAGTTTCGTCTCTGGATCTGAGCGGTGAGGACGGTGAGGAGGAGGAGGAGAGGATAAGGGCCGCTTCTGATTCTGCGCTCCGGAGAGCTCTTAGAGAAGACGAGAGTCGTCGAAGTGCTTTGCTGACACCGGAGAATGCAGTCAGAATCAGGGAGGCCATGCGAGGAATCTCGTTCGGCGGAGCACCTCCTGGTTGGGCGGCTCAGGTCCCGGAGAGCCAGTGGATCCAGAGGCTTCAAAGAATACGACAGGCATCTTCTATTACCACTTCTCCAATTCATGATTGAAACTTTCAAACTCTGTTTATGTTAAAAATTGTTCTAAACCTAATGCACATCTTCTGTTTGATGAATTGCCCATCCTTCTTCTTTGTCAAACTTTTCACTCTGATTTTATTTGAAACTTGATTGTTACTCTGTTCTGTCTTTTTCTGTTTCAAACCTAAACATTTGATCTGAACTGAACTGTTCATTTCAACACTGATTTGAAACCTCAGGTTGAATCTAATTGATAGAATGTACAGATCTTGCAAAACAACTGGGGAGTTTAGCCTACATTTACTGACTGATTTTGTTCTAAGGACTAAAAGGTTCTTGATGTGCCACCTTAGAGCTATTGGGTTGGGATATTGAACTACTTTGACTATGAACACTGCTACATCCTACAGGCTGCAATGTTATGTTGCCGTTCTCAAACACCCTCCCTTGCGGCAGCTGCTGCACCACCAACACCAAAAACGTGGTATCTCCCAACAATGCAAAGGTCACAATTACCCCTCAGCGAGCGAAGCACTCTCGTTGTGTCCACCGTGTCTATCACCACCTCTTCCTTGAACCCGATTCGGTCTTTCATGGCTTGGAATTTGTCGACCATCTCAAGGTCCTTTGACTTTTCGGGCTCTTCTAGTTTCTTGTCCCTCAAGTTCCGAATCCACACCAATGAGAAGTCAACCCCCGGGTGGTCAGCAATCCTGGAGCTGTACGCCAGGGCCTCACGATCATCTGCCCCTCCAAAGAAGAGGGTCGTGATGCAAAACATGTTGTATCCTAGGTGAATAGACGTGTATTCAGAAACTTTTCCGCGGTCAATCAGGACCCCTATAGAGCAAGGGGCCTTCTGGAGCACATTTTGGTTGACTATTCTGATGGCAGGAAAATTAATGCCGGTGGCTCCTTGGTACGACACCTGTTTGTTTAAGAAGACAATGACAATATTAGCCCCCTTCTCAAGGGCGACGGTGCAAATGTCGTCGTGCATACTCGGGTACGGCGCGACAGACATGAAGATCTGCACCAGCGTGTAGCCGTGGTTTCGTTGCTTGAACCCGTTGAAGGCATTGGATATGGGATCAGAGTGACTGAATGATGTCCTGAGTTTTCCCTTCCCTTTCCCACCCGACAACAAGAGGGCGTCAGCCCTGCCTTTGAGCTCTGACAGGGTAAGGACAGACATGGCGATGGGACGATTTCGCCCTGGGCAGGAGATTTATGATTGCCGGTACGTTTTCTTCATCGCGGACACACACCATCACACGGAGCTCACTGTGTGGATCTGAGTCGATAATGGAATTCGTCCGGTAACCCAAGTACCTCGTTGATGGATCGTATAGGTAGCAAACTAGGGGCGCCGCCGCTCCGGTCACGACCGACATCGTGCATAGCAGAAGACCCAATGCTTCCGTGTTTATCATATGCAGAAGAAATCAATTTTTATTTCCTCATTATTAAAACCAGGCAGATAAGAGATAGAATAGCAGGATAATGAAGATTGTTTATGCATACTGCGTTATCCTTCATTGTTATGAAGACAGCTGTTTCTATGATACCCTTGCAACACATGATGAGGGAGAGTGACGTGGCATCGGTGATCGAAAACCCGGCAAAGACTGCCGGAATAAATGCTCCGGCAAACTTTCCGATATAACCCAAGATGATGATGGACTCCATGATGGCTGCATCCATTCCACTCCCTGGAGAGATCAAGTGTATGTCCAATCCAGTGACTGCAAACTTAGCCGGGACTAATAATACGGTGCAGAGCATGTCAATCTTGTACACCAAAGGTGACCCAAGGGGGGGGGGGGGGCGTCAGGCACAACGACGCCCAATATAAACGCCCCGAGCGCAGCGGGCTGCCCGAGCATCTCGGACAACAAGCCGCAGAGCAACATGAGAATAACGATCACCAGAAACTAGCTCTCTTTCATCAACCCGCTCTCCGGAAACCAACTTGGCCAAAACGAGGCACGCCACTGCCCAGGCAATGGAGAGGAATATATTCACCAGAAACTCCGATCAGAAACTCCGTCCGGCCGGCTCGTCTCACCGCCGTTGCATCCATGTTCTGATACAGCACAAGGGAGAGTCACACCTTAAAAGCTAGCTGTTAAGGTGGGAGAACCCTTGGCTATATAAACTCATCACCAAGTTCTCCATTTAACCGGTGTGGGACAATGAAATCAGTCTGTATTATTCGACCCCCCATAAGGCCCAACGTCCTCGTTGGTCACGGCTACGTTGGTCACGGTTGGTTTCACCATGCCACCACTCCGTAGACCACTACTCCGAGTTGGCTCGGATACCATTGATACAACATAAGGGAGAGCTACACACTAAAAGCTAGCTGTTAAGATGGGAGAATCCTTGGCTATATAAACCAATCACCAAGTTCCCTATTTAATCGGTGTGGGACAATGAAATCAGTCCGTATGAGGTTCACGCCCAATAAGAAGAGGTGGAACATGAATCCTACTTCTCCCCGTGTTTCGAGAACCACTCTCCCTTGTATGGGGAAAAGTAACTCGGAGAACTTTTTGTTGCGCCCCAAAACGGTGTTTCCGATCACTATTCCGCCCTGTTCCATGTGATAAACAACATCCATATACCCTAAATGAACCAGATTTATTCGAAATCGAATTGGACCTTAAAATTGATCAAACATGAACTGAACTAATGAGCTAACCATATACCTTTTTTGGCAAAAGCTTTTAAAATGTAAAATCCTTTTAGGTGTATTTTATCGGTGGGGTTCTAGTGCCACTGGAGTACGATGCCACTCCGGTGCCACTGGCATTTTGGGGCACTTCATGTGCTCCGTTCGCAAAATTGACGGTTCCTACCCTCCTAACCCACCCCCTAAACCCCCCACCCTACCCCCGCCCCTGCACCCCACCCCAACCTTGCCGTAAGCCCCCCACAAAATGTGTGGCTATTATGCGTTCATAATAGCCACACATTTTGGGGGGGGGGGAGGCTTACGGCGGGGTGGGGGTGTAGGGGCGGGGGTAGGGTGGGGGGTTTAGGGGGTGGGTTAGGGGGTAGGAACCGTCAATTTTGCGAACGGAGCACCGGAGGTGCCCCAAAATGCCAGTGGCACCGTACTCCAGTGGCACTAGAACCCCACCGGTATTTTATATATGTTTCCACACTTTTTTCTTTTATTTACTAAATCCACGCCCATTAACATAAGTTTAACACTGGTGTTATTTAGCAAATTTAAGTGAAGAGAGTGGATATAGTCATTTTCGGGGTGGATTTAGCAACGCTCTTTTGTTGTGCCTCCATATTTTTCAGTTCGACCTTGACTTTCTTTTTCAATAATACTCGAAATTATTTATCATATAGGAGTAGTTTTCTCTTCTATCAGTTCGTCCTACATTCCGGATGTTATTCTATCTGTCTTGAAATAATCCTCTCAATTATTATTCATATGCTCAAACTATATCTTATTTTCTCTCATGTTTTAAAATATAATAGTAATGTCATGTCTTGTTTTATGCATAGTATAATTTCAAAATATATGAATTTTATTTTCAAATTTTACTCTAATCAATATTAGCTGTAAAAACCATTCCAAACAAAATCATAACAAAGAAAAACTGTGTGGGTAACTAAATTGAGAAACAACTTTTGTTTTGAATGTTGTTTTCCTAAGAAAAATGTAATGGTCAATACAAAATTCAAAGTAGATAGTCTCTATCAACATGAATAAGAGATTATATTCATTTCAAAATGAAATTTACGTTTTACTTTTTAGCTTGTCGTAAAATAAAGCTTTCGCTTATTAACTTCCCATTAAAGAATGAAGGCAAATTTTATAGTGGACTTAAAGTTCACCATAGACTTACATATGAGCAAAATAAACATTTTTCTTACTATCTAAATAAACATTTATTTTTTTCAATAAAAAAATAAAAAAATATTTTTTATATGAGAAGGTCTACAAAAATGCTATGCATCTAAGGTGCACCATAGAAGCACATACTCAAGGATGAATAATATGATTCATAATATTTTTTTTCTTTTACACAAAATTTAATCACATAGTAATTTTCAAGAATTTCATAAATTTCACGAGTACGGAGTACTTTTTTAATTTGGGACGAAGGAACTATTCAAAGTGAATTATATTTAAAACAAATACTCTTACAAATAAAAATCTCAACCACCTACTTTTTTTGTATTGTGTTGCACAAACAATTTTTTAGAAAATATTCTAGTCAAATCTTATTTTGAAAATTTTATGATATGGTTTTTAAATATTTTTTTATTTCTATAAGAGTCTTTAATTAGAAAAAATTGAAAAAAATTATTTCATTTTAATTAATTTTAAGTAGACTCACAAAGTACGATAAGTACTATCTTAATTAGGTGCAATAATGGCGTGGACGAACAAAAATTATGTTTATCATCCCAAGTTTGTAAAGAACATTGTTTGTGAGACACGCTAAAAGCGATAAACTATGCCATATATCCGAATGTACTTTGTGAAATGTAGACTAAATAGTTCCGTCCCATGAAACATTTGCCGTTTCAAAAATGGCGTGACTTTAAAATGAGTAATTTTCTAATTTTCCTTTATTTTATAAAAGAGTAGGATGGGATGTGTAGAATAGATTAATCATAATTAGAAAATAGCACCAAAATTGTTCATTTTAAAGGCGCGACATTTTTTGAAACGGGAAATGTTTCATGGGACGGAGGGAGTATTAAAATATATGTTATTTTTCAATATAGTAATTAAATATTTATATTTTTAAAATAGTACTTAAATACTATCTAGCGACTAGGATAATATCAAGTGATGATAGATATTTAGTTTGAACGATGTCCAGTGGTGAACATTTACTTGAACAATGGTCAGTGAATAATGACAAGTCGTACTACATAGGGAAATAAAAATATACGGAGTATCATACTATATTGGAAAAGTCGTTATGCTTTAGTACTATTTAATTAAATTGCACAGAGTTCGAGATGGGTTGTGAGGTAAAAATTTATTCTTTTCATTCCGAGTCATACATGCTCTACCGGAAAAAATGCAGAAAATTACTTCAGGGTACCCTCGATTTTGTGGTAATGACTATCATGTCTCACATTATCTGAAATATACTCTCGAGTACCCTCAATTTTCTGGCAAGAAGTTTCAGGTCCCACATTATTTAAAATATACTACGGGAGTCTTTAAAATTAGTAGTAATGTACTCTTTGGGTATATTTTGTCGGACTGTTAGGATTAAAATTTTTGATACTTTGACCAATATTAAATTTTAGCTTCATAATCACTATTTCATTAAATCTAAATAAAGTCTTTCAGTTTCTTAAAGTTAACGAACTTTCAAGCCTAACGCCTAAATGGAAGGATTGTACCTTTGAAGTATAATATCACAACTTTTAAGGATCTTGAAATGTATTTTGTATAATGTGGGACCTAAGAATTATTACTAAAAAATAAAAGGTACCCAGAATATATTTCTGCCAGGAAATCGTACCCTGAGTTATTTTGAGGGGAAAATGTGTAGATTAAAAAGTGGTATGCAGGCCAAATGGGAAACCAGGGGGGAATTGGATTGGACGGGCCCCACACGAAGTTGAAAAAGGGCCCTGCGTTCTCACTGAGGTAATGGTCCGCGACGCGTCGTAGGCCCGGTAGGAGTAGAAGGCGACTTGTAGGCCCGGTGGCACCTTCGTAAATTCCTCAACAGCTTTGACCAACGTGCGCCAAGCGAAAGCTTAAGCCCCAAACTTTGACCAATTCAAGCCTGCTGCCTACCTCAGGAATGACGCACACCTGTCCTCTTACAAAATACTTCCCCTCCACAAATAAACTTTACATTACGCGTTACGATGTTTGACTGAAATTATTTTTAAATCATTTTATATGAAAAATGGTGTATAATTGAAAAATAAAAATTACATATTAAAAAACTATATCAAAAAATTTACAAAACTAGATGTGACATGACTATATTATTTTATCAAATGGGTGACGAAAATAGGTCAACAAAGTGAATAAAGTTTGACCCTAGCCTGTGAATAGTTAACGTAAAGTTTATTTGTGGACGGAAGGAGTATTCTTTAGATTCCATATAATAGTCCATATGGCTCATACTAAGGATACATCATATTAGAAAATAAATGAGTATAGACATTAGGTATGCCTCCATTCATTCTTTTTAAAATATCATGAATATATTTATGAAAAGTAAACAAGAGTACTCATTTACACAACCTAACTAGCAAAGACTTTGATGAGTTTAAAGCATGTTAACTTGGTCGTTTACAGAGTAGAAAGTTTGAATCCCAGCACAAATTGTGGATGTATATCGAGAACATATATATATGCGAGATAAGTAAGCAAGTTCTTGAACTGTAGTTACTCAAGGCACTCCTGATTTACCCTTTCTTTCGAGTACAATTCTCTTCATAAATAATCTCTACTAATTAATAAAAAAAATAGTCATAACTAATGAACAATTATCTCTCCTTTTGAAAACAATTTGTTTTAAGGTTTCATTTCTAACTTAAACTGCTTCAATATTTGGTTTTAAGGAGTTGTATTCTATCCCTATGTCTATTATTTTACTCCGTAAATGTCTTGCAATCTCATTGCAACTATGTTTTCTAAAAAAACTATCGGTTCAATTAATTTCGATACAGAACACTCTAACTCCTCAATTTCACAAAGTTCATTTTAAATTACACAGAATAACTAATTCTTAAGATATGTCACTTTATTGAATGGATCATTATAATTTTGTGTGTATCAAAAGTTGAATAAATTCTAAATGTGAATGGAGGGAGAAGTTATTTTCGCAAAAGAATGACTTTCTTAACTTATCTAATGTGTACAACGCTCTTGTTTGAAATCAAAATCTTAAATTAGAAACAATATCACGGAAAACTTCTTTTTAAAAAAATTCCAATTCTCATTTTATGATATTGAAACTAAACAAATAGTGTGTTCACATGCATCTAGATGAAACTCCATATGAAAGTTGTGAGGAAAACTTGTTACTCCATAAGAAAATGTTGACATTAAAGTTGGAAGTCAAACCATAAGATGCATGCACCGTCTTAGAGTTAAACTAATTATGCTGTTTGATATCATTACGTTTGAAAACTCAACACCTAGCTATGATCATCATCATTCTAAAGGCAGGAAAATGGGAAAAAGATGTACACAAATTGTCAACAAAAAGAGGGAAAAAAAATAAAGAATAATGTACCCAAATGAAATTTACACATAGCATTTTTTCAAATAAATCATTCTTATTACTCTAATATTTGGCATTGGAAAGTTCTAAAATGCATTGCATTTGAAAATGTGAGTGCTTCCTTAATAGTCGAAAAACGACAAGCATCCAAAATGAGTATAAATGGACATTAATAATGTTATCTCTCAATAGATCATTCTATTCATATGATTCATGGTGTTTGTTTGTAGAACCTACTCAAATGTCTACAAAAACTCGATGGTGATTACAAAAGAATTATACGATTAAAGTAGAATGGGATATTATTAAAAAATAGTTTGAATAGTCAGTGAAATAATTAGTAATCATGCAACGCTTGTTGCTACCTGCTAATTACCATATTTGTAGAGTACTCCCTCCGTCCCCCTAAGATGTTCTCATTTTGACTTTTGGTGGTTTTTAAGTAGAGTTGAAAAAAGGTGAAAGTTTACCATAATACCCTTAATGAAATATGGGTGGAGTGTATTAAATGAGGTGGGTGGGGTGTAATAAATAAAGTAAGTGGGGGTAGTTATGGTATTTTAATTGTTAAAAAATGAAATGAGAAGATCTATTGTGGACAAAGAAAAAGGGCTATTGAGAAGATCTATGGGGGACAGAGGGAGTAATTCATATAAGAGCAATTTACCTAAATAAGACTAAAAGATAATGACTTTCCCAATATAGGAGCATATGTTTTTATTTCCCAATGTAGGACTTTTGGTCATTATGAATTAGTCATTATTCAAGTAAATGTTCATCATGACTGGACATTATTCCTTCCACTAAGACATTAATAAGTCCTATTTAGGGAATAAAAAAAATTTAAGTCCTAGATTAGAAAAGTCATTATGTTTTAGTCTCATTTATTGCAAATTTCACTTCATATAATCAGTCATTATCCAATATTTGTTGCTAATAAAGACATATGACAGATCATACAAAAATATGTGTTATAAAGGGAATAAAACATACATGGCCATATTCAGGAAGACGTATTAACTTTAGTCTTATATGGAGCAAATTTTTCAAAAATTTAAAAATATCTCCAAATGGGAGGCCAGGGGTGAATTCAAGACAGTAAAATAATCAAGTGGAAAAATAATTTTAGGATGGAAAGAATAGTAGCCAAAATGTACCAAGAAAAACTTAACACTACAGCTTGTTTTTTAGGGTAGATTGCAATATCATATTATAGAGTATAGACACATTTTTTTATTCACAAAACGGAACTTCTATACATACAATTGTAGTATCACATGTATGACCACCAAAATGAATTGTCTCCATTACCCTATACCCTTATTTTTTAGTACTAAGAAAATCTATATATACTTTATGGTATAGGCATATTACAGTCTATACATACAAAAATTCATAGAAAGCACAATCTACAAATGAATCAACAAAAAAAATTAGAGTGAGAAAGTATTATATTCAAGCAAGTAAAGTCTCCATGAACAAATCATCTCTAGGCTCCTCCTTGGCCTTAGTGTACATCATCTCATGGGGTTGATTGGAGTAGTTATTTTGTGGATACCCGAAATTGCCCCTACCGTTCGGAACGGGGTAAATAGAGTGATGAGGTATCGGGGAGGGCCTGATAGTCATTGCGCCACTATTGCTATGGCTAGTGGTCCCGCCGCCTCCTCCCCGGTTGAGGGATTGGGTCCCGCTGCCTCGTGCAGTGGGAACGTCGTGGTTGTGCTTCCCTTCGTAGGTTGTGATCACCGATCGTATATCTTGTGACGCTCTCTCAACGTGCTTCCTCACCCCGCATCCCGCGCTCGTGCATTTGTAATAGCTCCTAAACAAGCGGTCACATGATTGTTATTCGTGTGGTGAGTATAAAACTCTCCCTAAACTTACAATCACAAGTTTGTGAATATTTATAGAAATCAAGAACACACAAAATGTACCTTGGATTGGGGTTTCCTTTCACCACTTTTTGACCATACTTCCTCCACCGATACCCATCATCAAGAATATCGATATCGCTTGTTGTTTGAACCACCACCCTCGGCTCTCTCACCGTCCGGCTCACCGCCCCACAAATTCCTTCGCTTTCGGTTTCCGCCCTCCTGAAAAGGGAATCATATGATAATTAATGACCCATTTAGTCACAAGAGAAAATGTTGAAAGCTACTCATGTACAAGATATGTTTCTATTGCACTAATTCTTCAAATAAGTGTCACTTCGAGTATCGAAACGTTTCGGTTTAGGTACTTAATTGTAGACATTTTGAGACCTAAATCTTTAGTAAAATATCGACTAATTGGTGTTTCCCCTTCCCCATCCTGCATGAGTACATGTCCGAGTTCCGTGCAACTTAGAAATAAGCCGCGCACACCGGTCATAACTAGGGGCTAGACTCGGGCCGTTTCAGGCCCGGATCCGAAACCCTAGATGCCCCGGAGGTATAGTAGAACTCGGTCTCCCATGACGACTTTTGGTCCAGTTCCGGTTCGGAACCGTGTCCATCCCTAATTCAGAGCTACCAAACGGAGCCTAACAAGGGAATTCTCACCATCTCTTAGCAAAAGGTTCATCTTCCTCGACCTCCTCTCCCCCAGAATCCCTCTTCTTGGAGCTCTGCTCATACTCATCGTCCCCGAAAGAAATCGAGGAGTTTTCGGGCGTGGTGACCGAGTCCATCTGGCTGTTGGACCAATAAGACTGCTGCTCCAGAACATCATTGCCTGGCGGCGGCGGCAGCGCCAAAGCAGAGGAGGCGGTGGAGGACGAAGACGGCCTCCTGGCGGCAGTGGACCGAGGAGGCATGGGATGGTCGTGAGAGCCTCTGTACACAATCTCTGTGATCTGCCCATCCAAACCCCTCTCCACCTTCTTCTTCGTCACGCAATTCGGGTAGGTGCACTTGTAATAGCTCCTCGGATTCTCGCTCCCCTTCACCTGTTTCTGCCCGTATTTCCTCCAGTTGTACCCGTCGTCCTCCTCCTTCGCCGCCGCAGGCGGCGGCGGCGGCTGCCGGGAGGATTGAGAGCTCACCTGAACATGGCTGAACTCAACCCGTGAAACCCCATCTCTGTCATTTCTTTCTTGATCGTTCTGATTCTAAAAGAAACAAAAGAAGCAATAAAAATGGAGTCTTTTTTACATCAATCAAGAATTTCGACATGGGGATCATTGCCGAGAACGGAATCATGAAATTAAACCAATTCAATCAAGAATTTGATTGAAAACTCACCATATAAAAAGGGTCGATGGGCTGAAAACAGAAATCTGGGAATCCATTATTACCATCTTGCTTCAAGTCTTTTTGATGGGCAGTTGTTCTTGGAAGACTCTGCTTCCAGTCGAAATCTTGTGCCGGAAAACTCCCCGTGGTTGGAGACGGCAAAATCTGCAAAACCCAAAAAAAACACCAAACATTAGATCTCCCTACCTTAAAAAAATCAGAAACCATAAAAAAAACAGCTGAGCTAAGAGAGGAAGAATCTTGGAAGATGTCGTACGTTGGAGTGGGAGAGGAGAACAGGGGAGTCTAAGAGGACGCTGGGGCTCAAGCCGGGGGGGAAAGCGAAGTAGGAGGAGGGAGAGAGGGAGAGGGGAGAGAGGGGGAGAGACGGCGGCGGGAGAGATTTGAACTTGGGGACGCCGCCGGACCCGGTCCTCTCGGCTATACGATCGGAGAGTCCTCTGCTGTTGCCGGCGGCGGCCGGAAGTACGTCGGAGACTAGAAGGTCGGTGAAGGAAGAGGTCATGAAGGAGGAGGAGGTGGTGGTGGTTGAGAAAGAGAAGGTGGATGTGCCAGAAGAATCCGCCATTACAAAATGAGAGAGACAGAGAGGGCGTTTGGATTGACCTCAATTCTGTATTTATATTGCCTCTCTTTTTTTTTCTTTCTTATTTTTCATTTTGTTTTTTGGTTGTCGAATTTTGGCCAACAAGATTTTGTAACAATTATATTTGTTTAGTTTTGATTTTTTTTTCAACTGTTTGATATATAGTTAAATTAAATATATATTGTATATTAATTGAATAAAATAATATTTTGAAAATATTTTATACAATAAATCCAATAAAACTATTTTTGTATCAATATATAATATCATTTTTATTTAATTCAAGGATGAAATTTATAGATTTTGACAAAAAAAAGTCAAAAGTGAAAAAATACTCTGAGCAGAAATGAGTAACGAATAGAGACTATTTTCAATTGGAGTTGGTACTTTGAATCATTTTAATAAGACAGATTAATTTTAAAAATATTATGGTTCAATAAATTCTTACATGATCTTAGCTTACTTTCATACTATAGACCTTATAACAGTTAGGGTACTTGTACTCCAAAAATTAAATCCCAAATTGTACACTACAGATATGCAGTTTCATTTTATGTTAGTGATGCAGTGTGATAGTTCACACGAGTACAAAATACTAATGCATACCTTTAATGTACACTTTGGATTTTATGTTTTTGTGTAGCTCTAACATCGTTGATTGTATAAATATAATGAAAAAAATAGGCCTTTTGCAAACACAAAACAATCTAAATGTCAGCTCATAAAAAATATGAGAAAGATCATATTTCATATATGAACATTGGAATCAGAGAAGTATAACTTTATCTTTAAATATTTAAAAAAGCTAAGATTATTAATCTTAAGAGAGTTTAAAATGTATTGAAAAATGATTTTTTTATTGAAATGTATGTACAAAAGATTGATGAAATTTCCGGAGTATGTAATTTTTTTTTTGTTCAAAAAAGTTGGTAATATGAATAATTTATTTTGTGAGTGGAAGGATAATTATGATAAGAGGGGCAAAAAATAAAATGAGAGAAGTGAAAATGGGTACGTATTTGGCAGGGGTTGCCTTTTTTACGCAAAATATGGCGTGTGCCGTTTGCCCACAATTTCTGTGATATTTCCTCCTCATTTATCCCAAGGTTTGCATCTAGAAAGGGAAATTAAGAGGGCCCATTTTTAGATGCTGATAAAATTGGGTGCGAATTTACCATTTTCCAAAATAAAAATTGTGCAACAAACTATATATATATATATATATATATATATATATATATATATATATATATATATATATATATATATATCCTAATTGTACACTAAAAGTAAAAATAGACATTTTATATTTGTTCGAGCATAGACATTATATTTGTGTTTCCATTTCACAAGTATTTTTTGGCTAACAAAAATAAATACGATGCTTGGATTGAAAGTGAAAGTGAGGGAAATGAAAATAAGATGACCAAGAAAACATTTTTCTTGTTTAGTTAGAAAAGAAAAGTAAAAGGAAAAGAAAATTAGAAGGAGCACATTTTTTTCTTTTGTGGTCAGAGAGGAAAAAAAATGAAAGAAAAAAAATGAAAAAACAAAATATCTCCAGAGAAATGAAAATCAAAATTTCTCATTCTTTTCTATCTAAATTTCTTGAACCAAACATACCGTAATCTTCCTTCGCTCTTTATTATTTTCCTCTCAAAAACATTGAATTGCTACAAGGGGTGTCGGCCGTTTTAAGAGTGAGCATAGTACGGTATGATAAGGTATTTATTTCATATTGTACCAAATATTTCAGTCTAGTATGTGATTTTACGTCATGCCAATCTCGAAATATCAATTCAGATAGTTCAGTATCGATTTTGATATAATAAAACGTAATAATTATGAAACGTAATAACTATAAAATGTAATAAAAGGCTTTGATTTCGAAAAAACAAAAGTACTTTCAGAAATAAAGAAACATAAAAATGAATAATGAATAATTAAATGCAATGAATGCGAGATTTAGTTTATATTATACAAATTAAAGAAAATAAATGATAACAAAATAGTATTTCAAATTATTGTTAATTTGTCTACAAAAAACTAAAACTTGAAAAAAATTCTAAATTAAATATTGCTCCGTACAACTTTTATATTCAAGACCGGTCCAAAATTTACAGAATCATGTGCAGAAATTAGTAGTAAAAGCCTATTTTACGGAATACTAATTTTTGCGTAGGATTCCGTAAGTTTTGAACCAGTCTTGAATGTAAAAATTGTACGGAGTAATATTTAATATAGAATTTATTTTATTCTAGTATTAGTTTTTAGAAATCATTATAAATAAAATGAAAACATAGACAAAGTACCAAAATAGGAATTCCATTTTTTGTTTCCGACATAATAATTCACACAGTGGTAATATGACATTGTATATGGACATTTCACAATACTTTTTGATAATGTACATGGTAATGATTGACATTGTAAATACATTTTAAAAATAAAACATGAAAATCTTAATTTGGTATGTTTCCAATGTTTTATTCCTACTTTAGTCTTTTTTCATTCAGTTTTTTGTACATACTACATAAGTAGGCTTCGACAGTATGGAGTACATTAGTACATACTCCGTCCATCCCAATTTAAACTGTCTGTTTCGATTTACGATGTTCGACTGAAGTTTTCAAATCATTTTATATGGAAAATGATGTAAATTAAAAAAATAAAAATTACGTATTTAAAAACTACATCAAAAGATCTACAAAACTATTGATGACATGACTATGTTATTTTATCAAATGACTAATAAAAATAGGAAAGGTGAATAATGTTTGGTCTTTTGAATAGTAAACATGCAACTTGATTTGGGATGAAAGGAGCAGTACATAACATGGTTTATCTCCAAGTTCTTAGAAATATTTTTGAATATTCTCTGTGTATCATGTATCAATACAATAACTATGATGTTTCAAAAAAATTACAATAACTATGATCAACAGGAACTATGATAGTCTGATGCCTTCACGGCTGCCACTGTTTACATTTCTAATTTTCTATTAAATACATTTGAAGTAATCAAAGTATTGAATAAAAAAATTAAAGCTCTTTGTTCAAATTGGCAGTGGGAGAGCCAAAAAAAGGATGATAAGGGACTGTGGTTTTTTTGTTATTCCCAAAACTTTCTTTTATAAAGGAATACTACAAAAAGAGATATAACCAGAAGAAGATCACAAGGGCCTGGGAATAGAGTGATTCTGAACCTGTTTCTAGGAACAAATTGATTCTGGAACCCAATTGTATACATACGGCTGCTCTGCAATCACCGATTCCAAATCACGCTATCAGTAAACACCCAAGAATGAGAGAATCGTGTATCCAGCAAACAAAATTTTGGGATGAGTGTAAGTTAATGCCCGAATTTAGCACCTCGGATATGCACTATTCCTCAACTTGGTTATAACCTTTTTTCCGGCGGTCTCTTGAAAAAGAGGTTTTCTGCTTCTAAGGGTAAGGTCTGCGCACACACGGCTTTCCCAGATTTTGTGTGATCCTAATGGCTTTGTTGGTGTGTTGTTGGTTGTTAACTCTCTTTTGTGACTAAATTTGGTCATTGACTGTGAAATTTGAGCAAGGTTTTTTTATCCATTGTCTAAATATTAACCCAATTTGGTCTTGAACTATGTGATTTGGACCCAACGTGGTCATGAACCATACTCCCTCCATCCCAAATTAAACTTTCCGTTTGCTTTTTCATGTAGTTTACAAAAACTGAAATTGTCGGTTGAGATTTATGGATAGGAGAAAGAATCAATACTGACTACTTATTCCATTCCTTAAAAGGAATGGGAAGTTTATTTTGGGACAACCCAAAAAGGAAAGCAGGAAGATTACTTTGAGACGGAGGGGGCAATAAACTAATCAGTGCAGTCCCAAAAAAGACTCCCTGTTTATTTCGTCATCGCCATATGAATTTTTTAATCAATTAAAACAAAATATGGATGAGGGCTAAATTAAGTCAAAATTTCATAACTAGACATGTTTTTCTAGACTTGTTCTCGTTTCAGTTTGATAAATTTCAGTTGAGTTCACTTCAAACAAAATTATTCATTTCTTGAATTCAGTATATTTCAATTCAAAAGATATACCTCAGTGAAAAAGGGCATTTTATGGGGCGGAGGGTTAAAGAGTGTAAGAAACAAAAAGGTAGCCACTTAGGGCAAGCAATGTCATCACAAATAATGTTACCTGAGCCATTATTGAATTTCCTTTGTAAATGGTGCATGATCTCTTGAAGGGGCAGCCCTTCATCCTCAAATCAGTCTTTCTATCTTCATTGTTTTCATCAGCAATAAAAACCTCAAACTCTTTCTCAGTAATTGTATTGGTAATCCTTTCCACTTTGAACATCAATTCATTGTCCTCACTGCTATTTCCCTTGAACACTTCCCACTTCCCTTTCTACAACGACCAAATAATACGATAATAGAGCATTATTACATACCCCATCATATACTCCCATAACCATAACTAAAATCTATTACTCCATTTGGTCATCAACTATTTTACCACTCTTTTTTGTCTGTACCTATGGACTTTGGACCAATTCAATTCACACCGCATTTGGTTAAAAAAAGAAGTATGTTTTGTATGACCCAATCATGATTGGAGGCAAATGTGTCTAAAGACTAATTTGAGTTTATATGGCATAGTCGAAGACCAAATTGATTCCAAAAGAAAGTTGATGACCCAATATATCAAGTAGTCTAGGGACTGAATCTGGGTATGAACTTTAAAATTAACCGGTGCCAGCAGAAATTATAGGGATTTGAGAAAGACTCACACTAACTCGAACAACATTAACAAGTGTATCACCGGCAGCATCAATGATCAATTTCTGGTAATGGGGATCAGAGGAAGATTCACTTGATCCGCTTTCAACCTCAAACAGCAAATTGCTAAAGGAATCAGTGAAATGGAAGGTACCATCCCCGCACAACGCATTGTGTTTCTTTAACACAAAGAGATCAAATGGAATTCCTATCTCTGGCAGATATTCACTATCCACTCCACCTGTAGTTCCCATCACTAAAATAAGAAACTAAATACAATGTGCGGTACAACTAAATAAAGAGTAAACATGAATAGAAATGTGTATCTAGAAATACATATTGGAAGAAAATGAGTGCTTACCATAAAAAGGCTTTATCAAAAGGTGCCCACTTTAATGTTTCTTTTCAAACCCAAAATTTTTAAAATGCATATATTGAAAATAAAGAAATGTGAGGTGTTTTTAATTGGTCAACAATTTCTTTAATTGTTTACAAATTCTAAAAAGAATATATTACTTTTTGAAGATTGCAAAAGTAGCGGTGCAGCGCATTCAAATATATACTCCCTCCGTCCTACTGTCTTTGTCCACTTACCTTTTGGCACACCATCCAATGCACTTCTTTAATCCATTTTATCTTGTAATTTGTATATTAAAAAATTATAGAAATTATATATTAATAATCTATATGTTAAGACGAATCAAACAAAATCACACATGACTATTTTTAGGCTTACACATTGAGAGAATTTGATGAGTCAAAGTGCTTAGATGAACAGTTCCAAAAGTCAAATGTGGACAAAGACAGTGGGACGGAGGTAGTAGTATTCATGATCAAATGTATGTAGAGCAAATCACTCCATTTACTCCGATGGATGGATTTTGACTTTCTTTCTTCTTCTTTTTTTAGTAGAACAGAGAAAATATTAATTCTTTTAAATTGGGCGCCAGTTAGATTCAAACTCGTGATCTCAAAGTCAACAAGATGTTGATACCATGATAATTAACCAATTCAACCACTAGATCAAGTTTGTGGTTGTAGGTTCAAGAAAGGTTTTCATTCTCTAACAGCTTTATAAGTCATTGGTCTCTATCTACAATCATATTTAATTGAAACTGACAACTACAAAGTGCTGAATTGCTAATGATCTGGTCTTACTATATACTCCCTACTATACATGAAGTGTATTGTTCATGTTGTAGTTAGAATCAAATAATCAATCACCTCCAAATACATAATTTACACCGTATTTCTTTACTTTGATCTCCATAAAAATAACTGTGTTTAAGAGATTTAAAATGAATATCTTTGAGACATTTCTTCAAACAGCTGGTGTGTTGATAGACATCTTAAGATATCAAAACCAATTATGATCGCACATTACGATGTGGTCACTTGTTATCATCATCGATCAGTAAGGGCGG